TGGATGGACTGACGGAAAAAAGTGTTGCCGTTACGTCAAATACGCACGACAGTGCAACATCGATTATCTGGTACATCAGTGCGGCAATCGATCTCGAGATACATAGCCATCTCGAGACTTTGATTTCTTTGCTTGATTAATGACATTTTAATAGATCAAGTCACGCTCGTGCATCCCTTTCGCGAACAATCGCCTCGCGTTTATCTCTTAAGACATTTATTTTATTAATTTCCTGTTGCTTATCCATGCATTGTAACTCATTGCTAGAGCATATAAATTGTCATTATAAAGTTTTTTTAAACAAGATAATTATTTAATGATGCCTTAATATGATAGTATTAAATATATAAATAATATATGGCATTAATTAAAAAGATGACGCTTTCTTTATCTATTCTATTATTGCAAATTTCTGTTTGTATTAATTAATTCTTTTTTTATTTTGTTACATACGCCATTTAGATTTAAAAAAAAGTCTGAAAAGCTTTTGATCTCTTCTGCCCGACTTCGTCGGTAAACGCGAACCGATCCAAAGATTCGCGAGTCAGGAAAAGTCTGATCGCTTTACTGGAAACCGGAGCTCGGCCTTTTTGGCCTTTTTTCGATGATCTCCCCAGCGCTCTGTCCAACGCGTCCGTGCAGATTGGCAACCGGTTTTCCTATGGCCTCTCCCAACCGATTCCTCACTCCCACTCTCACTCCCACTTCTGTTTCCCATTCCAGGGCCCTGTGCATTCCCCATACCCCACATCCTCCATCCCTCACAGTGCTGTAACATTACAGCGTCATCCTACATCTCTTTTCATACTAATGTTTTCAGTGATGAAAACAATTAGCGATATATTTTGCAATATGAGAATAACGTGTGTCCCTATTTTTATCATATTCTTCTTAAATGTTTTTTTATATTTTCCAGAGATACGTTAGAAAAAGAACCGACATATAATTAGTTATTTAGCATATAATAATCATTATTTAACCCTTAAATGCCACTCGGGGTCCAGCGGACCCCAGACTCTTTACAATGATATATTTTCAAATGTTCCCCCCAAAAATGGAGCTCATGCTCCCATTGATGATAGTTGAGTGATTGACCTACCCGGTTGTACACTTAGCAGTACTCAGTTTACTTAATTTTTTGTACTATGTTGAAATTGAAATTTTAACAATATAAGCATTTTATTCTCTTTTCTAAGCCTTGAACAACATTGAAAATAATTTTCATAACTAAATATCAAAAAATCAATGAGTAAGGAGACATTTTTCATGCTGGGGTCTTTTAGACCCCATGTGTCATTTACGAGATTCTTGAGAGGTGTGGCATTTAAGGGTTAACTGAAAAGTACTTGACCGAAGATTACCTGACTTTTTTCCTATAGAATATTTTAACACAATAGACAGCTATGTTCAAATTTATATTAATTATCGTGCAATTCCCCTTTTTCCACAATCCAGAGCAATTCAGACAAACAGAAAAGCATACTATTGCTTTTCCCGCAATCCAAAGTAATTCAGACAAGAGAACTTATTGATTTAATCGACAGATCTTTTTCTCTCTAATAAAGAAATCGTTTTTCAAGCTATGTATTTTTATATCGTTCGTAAAATAGAATTTATAACGGTGATACATATGTTATAAAATACAACCTTCCTGTTTTCTTCGAGTCGATCTTTTCATTTAACGTTCAAACGGGTCGCTTCGAACGGGTCTCTATATTTCAACGATGGGCTTACAACTTCCTGGGTACGCAACTGGCTCTGATCCTCACCTCTCGTATTATTCCTCATTCCTGACCACGTGTTTGAGCGCGATTATGGGGAGCACGAATGAGTCGGTGGAACTGTTTTGCCCTATCCCTTTTCCGCTCGGTGTGAGCGTTTTCGCTTTCTCGTAAAACTCCGTGCGGTTTCCATGCGGTATAATGAATAAATTGACCTTCATGAGCCGCACATGGGAAAAATTCCGTAAAGAACGGCCGTACAAAAAAAACCGGCCAGGAAGCGAACAGTTTTAAAACCGCGAGAAATCTCATTATCCTTGAACACGAGCGAGTGCGGCCTGACATTTCATTTTAACAGAGCGCGCGCCAATTTTCTGCATGACTCCATTCTCTTCGCCAATTGTCGATTTTTCTTATCTATTGTCGATCCGTCGATGTTACGCGCCCGCGGCCACACGTGAAAACCAATAAGAAGAAACTCCGCCCGCGAACGGAACGGAATACCTTGCAATTCGCATTTGCCGTCTAGCAATTAAGTATGATGTTAATAACCATAATGGCGGTAAAATAAAGAGAATAGAGCGCAAGGCGTAACAACGGTGAGCTACTTAGATCAAATTTCACCTTCTCTTTCCTCATGATTCTCCCACTCGCATTCGCTACAAGAACGGACTGATGTGCCTCAGCACCCTGCTCGGAAAAGCGATAGAAGTGTTTCTTCATATAAAGAATTTTATTAATTTAAAAAGGAAGCGTAATTTTTATTGTACGTCATTTTGCGTCAAATCCTATCTTTAATGAAAAACTAATTGCACTTCTACACAAAGGCAAGGTTTCTTTAGATCGAAATCCACGATAAATATTGTATCTCTCCTGCAATCCTTTAATAATAAATAACACAGAAGAGTCTTCTGTTGGTAATGGCAATATATATCATTAATACAGAAATATAATAATTAGCATTATTTCATTTTCATAAATTATCTTCGGTCGTAAGGAATTGTTTTTGCGTCACACAGTTAAGCCTCTTCTATACATATAATTGAAATATATATGTATAGATAATAATATAGATAATTCTGTAGATATATTTCAAAATTTTTACCAATATTTTACGCATATTAGTAAAAAAACATTTAATCCTGGCTCTGTGTCTTTCCCGTTACGGACACACGTTAGTGCGGGAGCTAGCTCACATTGTTCACGGATCTCCCATTAATTCCGGGACGATAGTCAGTTAAGATCGTTCCGCGGATTCTAGGAGAGAACGAAGAGCAGGTGGGAAACACACGCGCAATCACAAAACACAGAAAATTGCATTCCCTTGCTCACCTTCCCTTTCTTTTCGCGATTATCGCAGAATCCTATTTCTCCTCTCCCGCGTTTGCCTTCCCCGTAGTCGTAAGTCAGCTCAATTATGCCCATTATACGAGATAATCAATTTTGCCGACTGGCGATGAGAATTCGACGGACGTAACCCCGCGATGGAGTAATGATACAGGCAGGAAGTCGATTGCGATCTATCTACTGACGAAGAAAAGCTACAACGCGAGCGAATATATAAATAATAGGAAATAATAAATTTTCTCCTAAACATCATGAAACAACACGAAAAGAGATCCCCATTAAAGATCTATATAAAATTAATTAATTATTGATATAGCTGATATAGCTATTTTTATATTTTAATCGCTAAGCGAACTGACTTTCAAGTATTACAAAAAAAGAAGCGTGATGTAATCGTTGCGGAGTTGCTTACGTGTTATTTTTATACCGGGTACTCTCTTTTAGCGATCGCTCTAATTTACATAATGGTTCGCGCAATTTTCCAATACAAATATAGACACGGTAAAGTATAGGAGATCACAATGGAGTCATGGCGTGATTCATCAACGTCTGGTTACTCACACACGACGAATTTCCGCGCGCGCGAGTGCCAGAGAGTAATTATTTTCCGCACACGTGTTCTTCTCTTACACAATCCCGCGCGCAATCGCACTAATTTCACATTTGCGAAACCATACAATTCATTCGACGTATCTAGCTGCTATTAGGGTTAATTAATTGCACGTCAACACGAAGGGAGAGAGACTCGGAGGAACAATTGGAGCAGCCTCGATTCCCAAGGCACGATTGGAACTCGCAAATCGGTCACTTCCACCGATGAACAAAATGTATAATTATCATCAGTATGATTATCTTCAATTTGAGTAATCCCAGTCAGTTAATTTCGAATGCACCGTCGCTCTGTCCCCTCTCGTTTGTCCAAGCCGAGCGGCCCTTAACGGATAATTAGCCTTTTATCCTCTGCCTTGCCCTAATTGCAAGTGTCGCGCGATTACTAATTACTAGTTTCGTTCCCTGATTGCGGGTACTTTTTAATTGCGCGTTGCGTCGAGGATGATGCGAGCGCGCGCATTGTTTGCACAGCTCGCGAGCGAATTTCACTTCCGAGAGAATCTCCTTGATGAAAGAATACACTCGGTACGCCTCGTAATATCGCGTGACGTACGCGAGGAGAATTCGCGACCGCTGAACGTGATCTGAAAACGTATAAACTCATCGGTAGGTGTGCCTGACGATTTTTTAAGCTCGAAACACGTGAGACTCGTGTCGAGGGAAGAAGCGAAGAACTCCTTGCAACTCTTGCGAGTCGCAAAACGATCCCGACGTCGTGCGTGCGTGTTCATTGTCGGTTTGTTCTATCTGCGGTCGGACACTGCCATTTTCATAAATAGCCGGACCGTGAAGCGAGTAGGAAAGAAAACGTCTTACCAACGTCAACAGTAACGAGCCTAAAGTCAGTCATAACGAGCGCGTCGCACGACGCATGAGGGAACGTCGCAACCTTGACTGGCTATGCTATGATCTCTCTCGTGATACCTCGTAGGCATCGCGATCTAGGACATCCTACTTAAAGAGACGCGCGTGCGTCAGGTGCTTCGAAACTTTACGATGCATTCTGTGCGACGCGTTATGCCGCCACTTATTTGTTATGCCGCGTCGGCCGCCGATCGGCAGCGTAATCAGCTTGGAAACAAAGGGACGTCACTTTCATTCGCGACTGTCATGTTTCCTCCTCGTCACTGATTACTGTTGAACGCTATAATCGAACGCAGACAACGCGGTACGTCTGTACTCGGTACGCGTTTGAGATTTCTTCGACGCGCGTACATTTCCCTCGTAATACTTTCTCTTACGCGTTTATTATTTTAAATAAAATCACGGTGGTCGCGGAGACTACGTTCCATCGCGACTGAATCTAAGCGTATCGCTCACCGTTGGCGCCTGCGAGCCCGACGATGCATATCCAGCACAGGGCCAGTCTCCAGAAACGGTCGGCCATGTCCATTCTCCGGGGTAATTACGAAACGCGTCCGCGAATCGTGCACTCGCGATCTGCGTCGGACAGGTAAACAAAGGGGTGAAGAGAGGAGGGACGGACGCGGAAGAGGAAAGGAATGGGAGAGAAGAGGACCGAGTGTTTTCGTACTATCCGCGAGGGACTCTCATTTAGCCGGGCGGGGACGACGCGGCTCGGCCCGGGCGCGAGGAGCCGAATTCTCCTCTCACCGTCCGCGAATATCCTCGTCGTTAATGGGAAAGCCCGAGGACTCGCCGGAATGGGCCTTGGCGAAGACGCGCGAGCGATGTTCCCCGTGCGAACACGCGAGAGACACTGACGGAACAAGAGACTCAGAGACTGGCGGGAGACTCGGGAGAGTTTGAACCGCCAGCACTGCCAGCCAGCAGACCCAGACTGCAGCATTGACCAGTGGCGTAGAAGTGGATCAAACGTCGCAATAAAACACGATTTTACACAGTTTTGATTAAACGACAAAACTGACCGACGCAAATTACGAGAGATCGATTTTTTCACTTGATTCTAGGCTGGTGAATCCGCCGGATATGCCCAAGGTTGAAACCTTGAATAAATACTGCTAAATATAATGCGTGAAGATATGATCGTGATAACATTCTTGCATTAAAATTTTTCTTATTTTATGACTGTTTTTTTTAATTCCGTTACATAGGGAAAAGTTGAAAACATAATTACACAGTCCTTTCAATTTTCTCGCAAATCGGAGCGCTACTTATCCGGAGTTAAATTAATATTTCTGATAATTATGTTAGCCGAATTTGTGGTCCAGCATCATCCGTGGGCATAATAAGCCCCATACGCCATTGTCATCGAGAAACAAAAGACACACGGATGAGAAAGTGGCAGCCGCCGTAAACCGATCGCAATGGCACGATCGCACGTATATGCGTTCGCGCTTGCGTGTGTACGTTGCGCGTGCTTATCTGATAACCGGAATGAGCTTGTGGGCCGGAATAACTTACGGGAAGATATAACAAGTCCCTCGCGCTAATTGATTTATAGGCTGAAGAAGATTCATCGAGGTATTCCAGATAGAGGCGTGTCTCACCACCCTGCAGAGTCGATCACGCCCCGATACGCGAGATCCTGCGCCAAGCGCCAAGGATTTGGGCCTTACAGACGCGGTCTCAATATCTTCGACGAATCGTGAGCCGATATCGCGCAGACGAACCTTTTACAGAACGGGTTATCTTTTATTTCTTCTTTTTTTTTTCCTCCCTTTGTCTTCGGCTCACGGGCGGGCGAACGTTTTAACGTAGGCGTGTGGGGCCAACGGCACCTCTCGCTCTGGGCCTTACATGGATGCATCGTGAGTCACTGCCCAAAGCGGCGTATGTAAATGTGTTCTGCCTACTTTATTCATACGCTCACAGGCTGCGGCGACCAGCGCCGCGGAGAAAAAACGGCATTAAAACGCCTAACGACGACGTTTTGCGAACGCGATGAATTAATATCCATTGACAAGTTAGAAAATAAATGATAGTAAGGTGACACGAGGTCACGGAGGAGGCGTGCGAACTTTTTCTATCGATGATAATCGTGTAGACTGTAGAATTTAAATGTGCTTGTCCTTTCTGAGTCAGCGATTTTTACGACGGAAGCCAATAACGTCGACGTGGTCGCGGCAATTTGTCGACGAGGGAAGAGACAAATGTAAATTTACCATGCCTAAGAACCTCGAGGTCTCTTGGGCCCCGACAAGACCCAGACAAGTAGTGTCTGTCCCGCGGAGCCCACACGGGGGTACCATCTTCGTGGTTCTTCGTGAGAGCTCGTACCCGCTCGTGCGCGATACTTCTTAGCCATTATTGGGCCTTTGGTGAAAGTGTCTGGTTAAATATTTCGTAACCAGATATGAATATCGAAACGAAATCTCGTATCTTATAGATATCGCAGATCCAAGGATCGTAAGACACAGAAATTGTCTGAAACGGCATTATTTTATATCATTTAACATCAACTCTTTATCTTTTTCTTCATCTTCCGTTTTCATTGAAAATGGAAAGTGTGCGAAATAAAAATAATATGAGAAAAAAGACAATTTATTTGTATCTCACGTAAGTAATAAAGATTTAATAATAAAATCAATCAGATAAGATTTCAAAAGCACGTACTCGTAACTGTCATAAAACCTGTAATTTTGATGAAGCAACGAAGATCAGCGCTTTTTGCCGAGGAATACTCCGTTAATTAAGCGTTAAAGCGACGTTAATCCCGATCGAGGGGGCAGGCCGCCGAGCAGAACGGCAAGAGGCGTGTGTGCATTGTTTTTTTCCGGTATGCCAACCGAAGCTATATTAATCAAATACGACCGTGCGTCGTGTAATTTAAATTCCCGTTAATCCACCGAACTCGCGTGCGCGCAGGGGCATTGTCTCTTTCTCTCGGGATATCGTGATCACGCGGGGTTACCGATAATTGCCATCGCGCGACTACGTTAACGAAGTGCGAATAATAAAAGAAAAACCAACGTCGTCGTCATCGTCGTCGTCGCGAATGAGTGTAATCGACACATCTTCTATAACGACGCTAATAAATTCGCGATGGCGGCGTGCCCCTTCGCGGAAACAATGACTCTTCTACTGTTTCTCGCCCTCATTAAAAACCCCCCGTTCTTCCTTTTTTTTAGCGCAACACGATGCACCACGTTTTATCGTGGATACTAATTACGGTCTCCTCACGAGATAATGAAATAATCTTACTACGCAAAGCTCGAGAGACCGCTTCCTTGAGAATTTTTTCAGTAAGTCGCGAACACTTTATTAGCCGCGGAACAGGCTACGCCTGCAAAACAACGCGACAGCAAATTAATATCGTGGGATTAGTCGGTGCTTATTAAGACGATTCGTCCACTAATCATCGACTAATCCCTCTCGTACACTTAAATTGTTAATTATTGCATGGATCCGGCCGCGGCTATCAGACACGGTTTCTTTTTATGTCAAATCTTGATTACCTAATCCATTCCTGTTAAATGACAACAATATATGTGACTTGTACAAGATATATATTTTACAAAAATAAATACACAACGACGTTCAACGTCCCTACTTCCGAGCAAAATACAATACGGTCTATGTACAACGCACACAGCGTATCACTTTTTTCGAGGAATATATTAATTTATTGTACAATCACATCGCTTCGCGCTTCAACGCGACGTAGATAAAAGCCTAAGATAGTAAATCGGAAATATTTAACTGAGCTAGCGATATGTGAAGATACTTCATCGTGTGTTCTTCTTACTATTTCCACAGAACGTTAGATATCTTCCTAAGAATTGTAAACACTAGTTTCGGCAGGTTAACGAAATCTCATAAGGGTGCAGAAGGAAGCAACGACTATCACGAAGTACAGGCTCGCCCTGAGGCTAGCGGACGAGCTGGAGTCAAGCTGATTCAAAATCTGACACTGCGAATTTCTATAGTGCTTGACGTTCCCCACGGAATCGCGCGCGAGCACGCAGAGCTCGTACTTGGTGCTCGACTCCTTCAAATCGTGGATCCTGAAAGATCGCTCGCTGTAAACGACGTCCTTCTCGATCATGGATTTGCTGCTGCCGGATTCCCGAACCACCACGTAAAAATCGCCGATGTCTTCGCGCGACGTCACGTACCACGTCGCTTTCCAACTCTTATCCTCGTTATTGCTGAAGAAAATTATGATTTATGATTATTTGAAATTTTCAAGAATATTTATAACGGAAATTTAACAATGCGTAATATATATATGTCTAAAATAGAACGTACTAGTCGATACTTCGATATTTCACGTCGGGTGTGATATCGAGTTCAGGCTCCTCTTGAATGTCCCTCTCACCGCAGTTCATGAGATCCTCGGTTATCTCCGAGATAAATTTATTTGTGAGATAATTCGGACTCTTACACATCACGTTTGACCATTCTGTCGGAAGCTGCGTCTGAGCTTTTAACCACCTTTTCAATGGCCGCACATGACAATCACAGTGCATGGGATTTCCTAACATGAGATAAAAATATTATATATTTTAAACATCTATATGTGACAAAGAAAATTTGATTTTAAATATAATTTTTATAATTTCTTTTAGCGATTTAATTATGAGTTTCATTATTATTCTTTGTTTTTTTTTTATTATTATTTAATCTATCGTTACCGGAGTATCTGAGGATAGTGCCGTTCTGAATAATCTTCATGAACCTCTCGTCGAAGACGCCGATCTCGTTTTCTTCCAAGTCGAGAAATTTTAGATTTGGCAACGGTAGAATTTTGTCGAGAGGCATATGGCTCAGATGATTGTTACTTAAGTGCAAGTTGGTTAAATTTAACGGCGGTACAAAGACGTCTCGATCGGAGACGTCATTTATGTCATTGTGCGATAGATCCAGAGTCTGCAAAGCCGTTAAATTCCCGATTACATCTGGAATAAGACAATGCTCTAATAAACGACGATTCTTAGCAGGAAACATCGGCCGGTAAGCCATTACTCGATTAATTGTCGAAGCTATTAAAAGCGACATTCCCAGTTTACCACTCACATCTTCTGATCTCATTAATGTTATTATGAGAGAGATTTAAGTATTGAATCTTCTTAGCACCGGCGATGAGGTCGAAAGTGACGACCGGCATTGTGTTGTAGGATAAGTCAACTTCCTTCAGCCTATAAGGGATCCAGGGATCGTTCGGCAGAGTCTTCCGGGTAATAAATGATATCTTGTTATGACTAAGGTTTAGCCTCTCCAGAGACAGACAGTCGTCGAGCAGTCCGTGCGTCTTGTTGTCTAGCTTCTCCAATCTATTGTGCGACAGGTCGAGTGTTCGCAGAGACACCAGACCCTGAAACGCGCCGTTCGGTATGTAGCTGATGTTGTTGTTCGTCAGGTTCAATGTTAGCAGCTGCAGCAAGCCCTCGAACGTCCGGCTCGTTACGTTGTTTATTTTATTGTTCGCCAGGTTCAGCTCGAACACTATCGGTAGACGGCCGAAGGCGGCTTTTTCCAGTTTCGTCAAGTAATTATCCTGAAATATTTCCGTCGGTAAAAATCCAGAAGATTACCTGTACCTCGGGGGGAACGCATTGCCCCATAAAAATTTTTGTCTTACCTGCAGATAAAGATACTGCAGACTGCTCAGACTGCCCAGCGCTTGCCAGGGCGGCTTTGTAATATTATTCGCTTGCAGGTTTAAGATTCTCAAGGTCAGCAGGTTTTCAAAACTCCCGTCCTGCAGGTTATCGCCCAGCCGATTCCGCGAAAGGTCCAGCGAGAGTAGCGCATTCATCGTAGGCCACACATCGGTGCTCGGAATCTCTTCCAACAGATTCTCCGAGAAGTCCAAATGACCCAGAGAAATCGGCAGTTGGAAAATCTTCGTCAGGCGATTATTTTTCACCGTTAAGCTCCTAAAATGTAATGGACATATTATTTGCAGGCATAACATTTCTCAATTTTATTAATGGACAGCGACGCGCACCTGCAACTGGCCAATCGAGTGAGACTACCGCGTGCAACGTCGTTCAATTGATTGTAGCTCATATCGAGTTCCAGAAGCGTCGGCAACGGCCCGAACGTCGATGGTTTTATCTTCTCCAAAGAATTGTGTGACATGTTCAAGATTCGCAAGCTGAAAAGCGTCTGAAATACGGCGTTGTGAATTTCGGACAGATTGTTGTGCGATATGTCGATCGTGTGAAGCTCGTACAGCTTTGGAAAAGTTTGTCGTGGAACGGAGTGTATCAGGTTGTGGGAAACGTTTAATATTTTCAGGCCCGTCATGTTGTGCATTGGAATCTGCAAAAAGATATATTTTTAAAATATTTATTTTCATTATAATAGACGTAATAAAAATAAATATTTTAATAAAGCAATATGAATCGTCTAATCGTTTGAATGTAAAGAATTTTACTTACCTGATTTAAAGCCGTAAATAGATTATAACTGAGTTGTAGCTCCATAGCATACGATACGCTGTCGAAAGAATACTTGGAGATATTCTCGAGCTTATTGTGGCTGAGATCCAATAACGTGATGTTCACACAATTTTCAAAGGCGCCTGGTTCGATCTTCGAAATCTCATTGTGAGACAGATTTACTTTCGCCAAATAAATATCTTTAAACGCCAGCTTCTCCACGATTGTCACGAAATTCTCGGAAACGTCTAAAAGCTATCCCGAAATTCATTATTAAAAGAAAATTGTGTAAGGATTACATGAGTATATAGTTTTTCAGATGTACGTATATATACCTCAGCGAATTGCAGCTGATGGAACATTTGGAAGTCGATCTTTTTAATAAAGTTCCGAGATAGATCAATGGTGCCGATCCTGGTAATGGAACCGAAAGTTCCACGACCCACGTCGTCGATTTGATTGTCACTCAGATGTAGCCGTCTAAGAAAACGCATGCCACGAAAAGTGTTTGAGTCGAGTTTTCTGATCTTGTTGTGGCTCAAATTCAAGACCTTTAAGACAGAATTCCGGGCAAAGGTTCCTCTAAAACGAAAGAAACGATCTTAGATAACTTGCGGAAATTTAATCATAGTTACTATTTCTTCAAGTCTGTCAACCTTTTCAAATCGGCGATTGCGTTGTGCGACATGTTGCACCATCCCATCTTGACGAGATCGGCCAAGTGAGATGTGTCTAATTTGTCGATTAAATTGTGAGAAATGTCCAAAAACTCAGTGTCTCTTAGACCCTTGAACTGATTCCTCTTCAAATCTTTTATTTTGTTACCGTGAAGATCAAGAGTTTTCAATTTCTTGAGTGGCGTTAGTGCTTCCACAGGCAAGGAGGAAAGTGTGCCTGAAAAATATAAAACTCGGTCAAGAATTATAATTTTAAATTTACGATCTCTTATATATATAAATATTGTGTAAAAAAATAATATTTGATTAAAATCATATTTGTGTGTGTGTGTGTGTGTGCAGTATCAAAATTAAGCTCGCGTAAAATTATATCGTTTTGAAGGTCTAGATGGAAGATAGATGATCAGAAGTGGTATGCATTTCCTACTGATGATACCTCGCGATGAGATTATGATTACCGTTACTAATCTCCAATTTTTCCAGCTTCGCAGCCGCCGCGCTTTCACCGAAACTATTTCCTGGCAAGGTAGATATCCGATGCCCGGTGATGCTCAACAGGCTAAGATTGCCGAGAATCTGCAAGGCCTCGCGAGGGAATTTTTCCAAGTCGCTGTTTATCACGTACAGCTCCTGAAGAGTTCGGTTCACACCGAGGAAGCTGTGCTCCTCGATCAATCTCAGCGGCGTGTCGATGAACTTCAGCACTCGCACGTCCAACGGATACAGAGCGGGCCCATAAAATCGTACTGTGGATTCGCAAAAACGGAATTGTTCATTCAGCCGATTTATTTCGTCACCTCTTCCGCAAGAATGCTATACAAGTATCTCTTCTTTTCTACGACGTGATAATAAATCGACTCACCTATGTTACATTTATATAGAACCAGTTCCTCGATCGGCATGCCCTCGTTCCCCAGATTCGTGAAGGCAAGGCTGAGACTGGCCAGATTCGTATTCTCACAACGGATATACAAACCCCTGTCACTACCCCGAAGGCAAGTGCAGGGGTAAATGTAAATGGCGTCTTTGGGGCATCTGAACCTCGGCCCGGGCGGCACGTAGCCGCCCATTATGCACACGACCATGCCCAACAGCAATAGTGGCGATAACATTTTAATACCTTAAGAAACACAAAGGGAAAAGGAGTCTACTTAATATTTTCGTAATTACATGTTATACAACAGTTACATAATAACTGAGTGCGAATAAATACAACAATAGATATAACAATACATTTTATATGAGAAAGTACTGTTTAAAATAATTACCCTATAATCTACAGTATCTACACAGTCTCTTCTTCAATAGAAATAAAGCGTAAATTACGTTGAAAGACTATGTTAAATTTATATTACGTCACACAAGGGTTAATATCGATATTTGTTTTATAGACAAGGTGCAAACTCATGATGTGTTTATGTTTATGGTGAACGTTTCAATTAGTTATTCTGTGACGCAACGCGCGTCTCGTCTGAAATGTGAGAAAGTTTTCGCTGCGTGAACTCCCTTAGTTAATCGCGTACACAATAGATCAATAGGCCGATAACCATGCAGCTTACACACCTAATAAGTAAAATCGCAGTTCAGCTTCAAAATCGCAATTGCTCCTTTTGCGAGCGAATTGTTCAACGGATCCTTCGAAGTTCGTTGCCTATGTTTAAGCAAAAGAACGATTACATCAGTCGTTCAATTCGCGATCCGATCCCGTCGCTTATTATCCCACGTGAATTGCCGAGATCCCGCGATCTCTATAGATATTTCCGAGGCGCGCGGAGGTGACTAACCGCTATAAGATTATCACGATAGCCCAAAAGTGTCCTTGAAGACGAGACTCTGCTTTTTTCAAGGCACTCGACGCAACCCACGCACGATGTGACCTACGCACCGACCACTGGGTGCGTAGCAAAAAAACGCCGTGAAAAATCACGATCTCACGGATGATCCTCTCGTCGATCGTGCTTCGCTGATTCAATCATAATTAATTCATTGATCGTGTACCAACGATAGCGTTTCCCACGCGATTCTAGAAAGGAGGCACGCAACTCCGGCGATCACGCTTTCTGTCACGTCGCAAATTATAAGCTATCGTAGAGACGTTTAACTCATACGTCAATTACGATTTGCCTTGTGTTGCGCGTCTTGCAAAAGAAAATTACGAAAGCGGCGGCTTGTCCATCCGGAAATGTTAACGCAATTAGACCAATGCGTTTTCACTGTGCACTATCGCGAAAACGATGAGCCACCTGCGTAACCGTGCATGAAATTTCGATAGAAAATTGACGGTTGCGTGCAACGACGCTGCACTGCGGTTATTATTGCAAATTGATTGTCCTTCTTTCGAAACTTGGACGATTAGCAAATATAATCTTCGCATAATAACCGACCTCTTTTCAAAGATCATCATCTGGTCTTAGTACGATGGATGTGGGTTGATTTGAAAAGATCGATCGGCCATGAAAAACTGTTTATTCCTATTTCCAACTTTTTTCTGATTTAATTTAAACATATTTTTCTTTTTATTATTATGAAAAAAATTTGCGTTGTAATTTTGTCATTAATTAACAATTGCGCGGTAACAATGAAAGTTGAAATGTCAATTTGTACTTTCGATACATCCCAGTGTCTATTAATCAAATCGTCGCATCGAAGCTCCCGCAATTAACGGTAGCGTACAATTAAAATAATCGTGGGACTCACCGATCTGAGAAATGGAAAACTATGCCTTATTACAGCTTTAGTAATTCAAGCAGGCAAGAAGAAAGGCACGGTGATCTAGTTCAAGCATCAGTATACAACGCTCGCGATATATAATATACGAGAACGATATGTAAGAAGAACAACAGCATCTGTATTATGAACGAGGGAGATTCATCGTGCTTATCTCAGGCGAGATATAAGGCTGAGTAAAAGTATATTTATGGATTTAGACGTAGAAGCTTTAAGTTATCATCAGTATAATCTGCGAATCTGAGATGATAGAGTTTATAAGCAAAACGATATACCGAGAAAAACACACGCGCCTTTCACTTTATTTCAGTTGATATTTCTACCTCATAAACCAAGGAACTAGCCACTGGACCGAATCACGCTGGTCTCTCGTGACACCAAACTCGTATCGGATCTAAGAAAAATTAATGTACGCCAGTAGGTACCATTGACGTAACGATACTTGAATATTTATACTGAACTATCTTAAGTATCTGACTCGCAAAACTCGAATAGTTACTTTTTTCTCGTATTTGTATACCGACTCGAAAATATTTAGAAACTCGATGAAAGCCATCAATAAAGAGTAGGCTTTCCCGAACGTGAGACTTCCGCTTTTCGAAAGCGGAAAGAACGACAGCAGAGAGAAAAAGAACTTGCGCCACGCTCCACTTTCTGAAAGTCTATCAATTAGAGCTATTGTGTTAGCGTAGCAAAGGCAGTCGACTTTACGTAAAAAATTCACCACAACCATCGTAATAAACACAGTTAAGTACTAAAATTAGTTCCCATTATAGAACTCCCTTGTTGAACTGAGATGCACTTTTCCGTGTGTTTCTTCAACATAACAAGTGAGAATATTTTCGTTTCACCAGTCGTCCTTGCGGATACCGCACGGTGCAACACCCTACGTCTGCATTCTTTAACCGTGTGTGGTTTCTTATTTGTAATATTACATATCTCTCTAATAAAAAATATATTATTGACTCTATAACGAGAATAATTTTTAAAAAAATTTAAAATAAAGATTATACTCAATTATTTTACAAAATTCTGTAAGTTATAAAGAACTTTGTTTGTAAAATTATTATTATTGTTCTAGAGTCTAAAGATTAAAATAATGTAATGAAAATCAAAATTTTGTATTGAATGATAAACGCTCTAAAAGTAAAATAATTTGTACTAATATTTAATTTTAAGTATACACTAAGTCTAGTAATTATTAATATACACTAAGTAATATACTAAATATACTAAATATACACTAAGTAATTATTAAAAATTACTATTATCGCAATGAAATAAAAATAACTTCGTGTAAAACTACGTGAGTTAGTTACATATTAAAGACACTTAGTTCGAGTAAGGTAGAAGCGTAACGTTCTGTGCGCGCAAAAGTCACCGTCTGCTGAGCGGAGAAATGACGCGCCTAAACACACGTGGATACCCAGCCGCGAACATTACGAAACTTAGCACCGTTTGGTATTTAAAAATATAACAAGTCTAATAAATCATTTGATAAGTCGTTATTCCTTATCAGTAATACAGAATGTCAACGTCATATCTGTGATTATTCCAATACCGGTCGGCGAATTGCAAGACTTTTAAGAAATTATTTTATTAAGAAATAATTATATTAAGAAATTTTTTAGCATTTCTTAATTTCAAGATAACAGGAACAAAACAATTTTATCATTTATCACAAAAATAGTCACGGTACCTTGTTACACTTTGCCCGACAATTCTCAAAAGTACGAAGGTCGTTGTGACTTTCTTCAAGGATGCACTGCTGGTATCCTCAGGGTTACATGTTCCCCGCCGAGTGGGTTGTCCTTTTTTGTCCTCACCATGCAGGAGCGGAAAGAATGAGAGAGAAGAACAGAGAGGAATACACGTTTCGAGTGTTTCACCGCGTGTCTTCAAGACATTCTGTATGTGGTTCCTGGATGAAGCTGCCGTGAAAACTGAGCCGAGGCAAGGAGGTAAAGAGAAAGGCAGCCTGAGAAGTAAGGCTTCCCTCATTGGCAGTTGATACGCGCTGTCCTTTCGTGGACATCCCACCTTGTGCCACTGCGAGAGAAAGAAGGAGAGACTCGCCGCGATTACATTTTGATAAAATTGTATCTTCAAAGGTCATGGCAGATCAGCTGGATTAGTGATCTGACCAAACTTTCTGTTAATATGAAACACAATCAAAAATAATAATAAAGTTAAATATTTTTTACTCATTCGTAAAAAATATAAAAAATTTTCTATTATTTTTTACGAATGATTAAAAAAGATTGAACTTGTTCAACTTCAAGTTTTCTTTATAATAAGAACGTAAAAAATTATAAAGATTATATTATTATTAACAAAGCTATTAAATTATGAATATTTTTTCATTCATCTGTCTTTTTATATTTTTTTCTTTTTTACCTGCATTTTTAGTTTCTTCAAATTATAAACGTTACACAAGTTAATAAATAAATATTATTTAATAATTTTAATACATAACATAACATTTAACCTGGCATATAACGATACGATCCTGGCAAAGTCTCGTGTAGAAGAAAGTCGAGTAGCACCTTAGGATTGGTTGCTGCTAGTGAAAGTATCTTCACGTAGCGTAGTTACCTTGGTACTCAACTGAGTCCCTCGATTTACGGCATGAAGCCGACATCTGTTGGTGCACGGATTAATTTAAATAAACATTTCCAACTAAAAAGTCTAAGAAAAATATTACATTATTTCTTTTAGGCCAAAAAATTTCAACAATTCGTATTTATCACTTTTTCTTCTTTACGAATTTGTTAAGGTATCTTTAATCTTTCCATTCAAAAAATTATACGGATTTTTTTGTTCTTTGGATATTCTCTCAGTTCTCCGAAAACATCGTTCAACAAAGCAGGATGCGATAGTTAAGCGTCGTTTAAATGATAATGAGAAATTACATGGCTATTAAGGTCATTGAGCTCTTCGAGTTCTACAGTTTCAGACAAAGAGTAGTCGCGCAGTCGGTTGCGTTATCCATTGAGTGATCGAGTGATAGCGTTTGTCAATATCAAACTGTAATCTCGGCATCAAAAATTAAAAAATGTTCGCTTTAGAAATTGCGATTAACATGAATTATTTTATAATATGCGTGCTCAACTTTTCATTATTATTGAGTAAGTTTCAAAATTAACTGTATCAAATTTCGGTAATTGCTTGAAAACTTAATAGTTATTTTTGTGTATTTTTTGTTATACAGATACAAAGATGACGAATCAACTTACTTTGGGCCATTTTGTAAAAATCTATTTTTTTAATTGCTTTGAAAATTATTTATAATATATTGTGTTTTGTGATCAAAGTTAAAAATTACAAATTATTATGTTGTATACAGGACAGAACTCGTTTGGAAACTTACGAGGAGATATCGAGTGAACAAAACGACATCGACGTATTCGCTAATCTAACGTTCCGTTTTACGTGCAAGGATATGCCGTCCGGCTTCTACGCCGATGTGGATTACAATTGCAGGATATTTCATGTTTGCGAAAATTCAGGCGATGGATTCCCAGTGATCTGCGCTAATGATACAGTGTTCGATCAGAAACAGCGGATATGCACGAACGATGAAAATATCGATTGTCAGCACGCTCATGAATGGTATAATGTTTTACGATATTTTCAGATCAATCGAAAATTATATGTTTCTCTATAAGACATAATTAATAATTATTTGTTGCACAGGTACTACTTAAATGAACTATCTTATTCCGCGGACATTGAATCGAGAACGATCACAGAAGAAATTATAGAGGAAGACGAATCGAAAGTAGATCAAGAAGATATAGTGCCTTCTGTTTTGCCACTCATGATTGACTAAAAATAATCTTATCTTACATCACATTATGTATTCATTTATGCATTTTACGTTTATACCGTTATAGTTCTACATACAAATCAAATTATTATACGCGTCAAACGGCTTTGATTGGAATTAATTTATTTTATTTTTCTTTCTCTGCTTGACGTGAAGTTATGCGTACGGACAATTAATTGCGTTTCAATGCAACATTTGTTGAAGGAATTGCTTTATTTTTTTCTCTTTAACGTAATATTTTATCAGTGAAATTAAAATTGATAAATTATATTATGCTTATATTTAATCGTCACGAGAAAAGTAAGATAATGATATTTATAGAATTCTAAGGTAATATTATTTTGCTTTCGTAGTAGTTCAACGTTCTAGTGATTGCGTGTAACATCATGATCTTAACTCCGATCTCTTTTGTGCTCTTGTTGCGTTCTGATACACATTTGCTACATGCAACGCGTAAAACTGGTGAAAAATAAAAGAAAAAGAGAAAGAAATGCACGAAAAGAGAGAGAAAAGACCTTCAGCGTAGTAGTCTAGAATAATCTCAAGTTTATTTCTGACTGTTGACTTCTCAAGGTTCTTGAAAGTTGTAGCGCCGGTATTTTCGATATCATTATTGCAGAAGTAATAAAATTATACATGCATTTGCATGTAAAATCATACAGAAATTACGAATTGCATAAAATTGAAAACATAAGCTCTTTTATGAATAATGTGTGTCGGCATGTGAATCTTTTTAGATTTTTTCATCTTATTTTTCAGCTTATATTTTATGCAATTCTTAACATTTCTGATTCTCTTAATCTTCATAATCTAGAGTTCCGTTTTCTGTCTTATAAATATTTTCAAATGTTGTATTAGTTATAGTATAATCTTTTTTGCAAAACTTTATAACTATATTAATATTAAAATATTTATTGTATAAAAAAATTAAAATTAATGAATTTATAATTATAATTTGGAGGGAACAACAGCATTATTTACTGGATTATACAAGGTAGATACAATTCATTTATTTTTAATCAGACATAATTAAAGAGCATGTCAGTCTTAAAATCTACGCTAGCAGTTCAATATTCTTTCTGCGATACAACTATATGATATATAATTTTTAATGCCGTACTCGTTATATCATCTTTAAGAAAATATGAAAAAGTGTCACCCACCACCATATAATCCCATGACAATGAAATAAATATCTCCTGCGAATGGCGCATGATTATAATTGCGAGGAATTGTTTCCATAACCATCTACGAAAATACCGTTTCTTCAGATTCTAAATATTATCTATTCTAACTTTTGAAAATATACTCTATTTGAATCCCGTGTTGCTAAAATGTAAAGTAAAATGTATCGAAAGACAATGTAGACGCATCCACATAGAAACTATTAATATCTAACTCTTCAACTAATCTCTTTTCAGGAAGTAGTGAAATTTTTTGACGCAAAGAATTATTAGGCATAGAAACCGTAATCGTCATAAAACTATATTGTTTTATAAACGCGACCACGACAATATTAATATAAAAAATTAAAGCTAACCCAATGTATAATCCGATTTGTTTCAGACTTCGAGGAAAGTCTGTAACGACAGAGACGTATATAAAATTCTTAACAAGGCACACACATTTAGTATTTTAGATTTTAATATAGTATACATCAAGAACGATAAGTAAACTTGATTGGGCGAATCAAAATACTATTTTCCATGATGATAATATGACCTATGGTGGTTCGGCCAAGTAATCCCCGGACCCATCTTATCATTGTCGTATACATATTTAATCTGCGGATTTTCCGACCCGAACAAGCTTTGTCGGATCATACCGAACATGGCCGATGCGAGGGCCATGTTGCTGATCATACCAGCCATGGTAGCAGCCGCTCTCGCGTGAGCCAAGGCCATTTGAATGATGAAACTTATCACGAAACCGATTCCAGGCATCAAAGTGTTCATCTTCATCTTCAATGCTCTTCCGAGATGTATCACCGTGCTCGTGACTTTCCTGGACATAAAGTCCTCTCGCAAAAGTGGCAACTGGATCCTCAATTCCGAGCGTATATTCTTGTCGGAAGACGATTCGGTGTCCTTGATCCTATTATCGTTATCTGGATCTTCGAGCTTCTCCGTAAAAACTTTTTGCTTTGCTAACTTTTCTGAATACTCATTCAGCACAGATCTGAATTCGTTCTTTCCACGGTGTTCCCTTTTACGTTCCTCTTCACTTTTTATAGATTCTTTTTCAAGCTCATAGGTAATTTCTCCCTTCAAAGGTGTTACCTTTAGTTCCTCCGCGCTGAGATTTTTCATATGCTTCTCAGGATTATCTTTCTTTAGATGTTCCTCGGTAAAAGCCTTCAATCTGCTCGCAAACTTCTCGTTCAAACGGGTCCCGAAGAGTACGCTGAAAGCGTTGTAAGCGTTCTCTACGTCGAGGAACTGAGCGACATCACCATCGGCGAAATCCGTTGCGTTGGCCTTGATTTTATCCAGAAACATGGTGATTATCTGATCGTCGTTTATGGATCGCTTAATGTCCGCGTACTCGTCGCTTTCTTGTAGAAGCTGAAAGTTCGCCTCTTGCACGTCATCCAGACTTCTCTCCTTCTTTTCTTTATCCTTCTTGATCTTCTCGTGGTCCGGCCGCTGATCCAGTACTTCTTCCATGATATCGCTGATGATCGTCAGAATACTCGGCAAGTTCTTGTTGTCTTTGATCTTCGTAGCTCTACCCTCGCGGAATCCACTGAAACTGATCCCGACTTCGCCGTTCCCGTAACCAGTAAGCTTCAGAAAACCCAGATCTACCTGAAACTTTTCCTCCATTGCCGTCTTGTACCAATCCAGGAAAATATTTTCCATGGATTCCTTTCTCGTCAGCAGTTCCTTCTCAAAATCGTTCGTGGACATGCCAAAGAAATTCTGTACTTCGGTCTCTGTCGATCTTCCGAAAGGCAATGACGGCAAGCCGATCAAAGATGGCACGGTACTAGTGATTACTGGCCAAATGAAAATGCCCATGCATCTGATGAAGCTCAAGCTAAGTATGCACTGAACTACTTGCGACAGTAAACCGCGATTCGTGGTATGCTCGTTCAAATCTTCCACCAGTTTCAAGATCTCGTACTGATCGGCGGTTAGAGAATTTCTGACTGTAGAATTTAAGGTATCCACGAAGTATTTCTTTGAATTCTTTTCGGGATTTTTTTCCACAATTTTCTCGGATTTCGTAATATTAACTAGAAGCTGAAGAAAATCGGATTCCGTGATGTTTGGGAACACGCTGTCCATTGTCGTCTCCGAAGCCCGTTTAATTTCTCCCTCGGTCTCGTAGTAAGAATTTAATAATTGATCGGTACTTCTTCGTCCCCTCTCGTGTTTCTTGGACGATGCGCCCGAGAGAACGGATTCTGACAATGAACCTCGCTGTTGCTCAAGATCAGACAAATGGACTCTTTCCTTGGAAATATCTATGAGAATGTTCGACGGTTGTCCAGGATATCCGGGAACGATTCCTTGCTCGTCTAGAAAATAAAAGAAAAACATAAATTAATAATCATGAATATCGAGAAAAAGAGCTAGTCTGCGTTTAACGGATAAGACTGATTCACCTACTGACGAAGTTTTCGAAGCTCTCGATGCTCCACTTATCTGGTTCGTCTGCTCCACTACGTGCGCAACTTTTGACTGAATCGTCTGCTCCTTCGTCTGCGACTTGGCCTCCTGCGATTTCGACTCCTGCGGCGCGTCCGATAGAATTTCAAGTTGCGAATAATTTATGCCGCCAAAGCTAGGCAATCCTGGAAACTGAGGAATTTGAAATCCGCCTGGTAACATAGGGATTTGAGGGAAAGGAAACTGTGGTAAGCTGGGGCCTTCGGCGAAAGGATTTCCGGGAATACCCGGGATCTGTCCAGGGATTTGGCCCGCGCCAGGAATCTGGCTGATACCGGGGATTTGACCTCCGCCAGGAATCTGTCCGATACCAGGGATTTGACCCCCGCCAGGAATCTGTCCGATACCAGGGATTTGACCCGCGCCAGGAATCTGTCCGATACCAGGGATTTGACCCGCGCCAGGAAACTGACCGATACCGGGAATTTGACCGACGCCGGGGAATGGAAATTGACCGAAGAACTCCTCGAAGTTCGGCAGATTCGGCGAAAATTGCCTCACGGTCGGCCAAGTGACATGCTGGGTGCAGGTCACGAAATTATTGCTTCTCGCGCATTCCAGCATGTTGGTTACGTATTCGCGACGTGTCGAATCCGGTATTGTCCTTTCCGCTAATCTAACAATGTTCATTTCTCGACCAGTTAGAAGAGTGCCTATCACAGGATTATTGACATCCAGATAGGAATTTTCCAAACGCGGCGACGAGTTCTTGCTCAACAGATTCTTCAATGCATTCTCTATTTTATCCTCGATCGTATCTACAGCAGTCTTCGGCGTATTTTCACTCTTCTCATTAGATGTCTGATTCTCGGAATAAATGTTTTGCAGTAGAATCGAATTGAGTTTCGTCCTCGGCAGAGTTCGGTAGCTTCCAAAATTGGGAAAGTTTGGCAGTCTCGGGAAGAATTGAGCAATAGTTGGCCAAGCTATATTCCTCGTGCACTCGAGAAACGTGCTCTCTCGAACGCAAGTGACCATCCTTTCCACGAAGACCGGTCTTGCCGACTCCGGTAACAGACTTTCTGCGACCTGAACAATATTACCTTGCTGTTCCGTGAAGTGCGACGTAATTGGCGACCCTCTTGAAGTTAGGACACCCGGGGTAGAATCCTGCACGGTCTTGAGAATTTTTAAAATTACACCTTCTGGATGTTCCGAAAAGATGGGATGAAACCTGGTGTCTGTGATGGTAACAGTAGCGTCTCCGTGCTGGCCGACTTTAACGTCAGTCTCTGAAAATGGTGATGGGTCAGTTAGATTCTGAGTTAACGTGGACTTACTGTTTGTCGCTTGAGGATATCCTCCAAAATTCGGAAAGCTGGGCAGTCTAGGGAAATATTCCGATAAACGCGGCCATAGGACGTTCCTCGAGCACTCTAAAAAGTTACCCTTGCGAACGCATTCTATCATTCGATTGACGGAAGCTGGACGGGCTGCATCGGGTAACAAACTCTCCGCTATCTTAAGGATATTCAATTGCTGATCGTTAAGCAGATCGCCGAACTCTTGCGTGCTGGTGATTTTGACACCCTGATCATCTCGCACGTTAGGCGAAGACAGCTGAATCGTCTTGAGAATGTTGAGTATCACCGATTCGGGATGTTCCGTGAATATTGGCACAAATCGAGTACCAGTAACGCTAATCACGGGACTGTTACTCTGCGGAAATTTCGTTCTTGAGATTATCTTCACGTTGGAATTTGTTTGCGATTTATTCCACTCCTGCTGGTCCTTGTTAGCCTGATGCGAAGCGTTCCTGTCTTTCAATGATGCTTGATCTTCTTGTTTTGGTGGTTGTTGGGTGAGTGATAAATCATTGGGAAACTCGGGGAAATTGGGAACGTAAAGAGCGACTGTGGGCCAAATGACGTATCTGGTGCAGTTGAGAAAGTCATTGTTCGTCTGGAGGCAAGACATAACTTGAGCGACGAGAGGAGCCCGTGCCGGGGGCGGTACAAGGCTCTCTGCTAATCGCAATATGTTAAGTTGTTTCTCAGTGATGGTTGTCAAAACAATTACGTTTTCGCTGACGACTAAATGCGAATTTTTCGGTGTCGCTCTCAGGGAAGTACGTACCTTTGTTAAAATATCTGTAATCTTGTTCTCTAACTCGCTGGATGCTTTAGAAGAAACTTCACTTTGACGAGATAATAATATGGAAATCGGACCGAGCGTGTCTCCTGCAGTGGAATTACTAGATTCCGATGGTGTTTCAGTGATCGGTGGAGTCGGTGTAGTCGATGACTGGCTGCCTCCCAAAAACGCCGGTAAAAACGAGGAAAAATCGGGAATCTGAAAATTCGGGAAATAACCGAAAACATTGGGCAACTGCCAGTCCGGTAGCCAATCGGAAATATCCGGTAGACCTGGATTAAATTGCTTGACCGTCGGCCAAGTGGAATACTTAATACAGGTCACATAATTGTATTCTTCAATACATTTAACGGTCTTCTGAACGAATTCCGGACGATACGGAATAGGAAGTAGCTGCTCAGCCATGTGTATCGACAATAATTGTTCGGGGGGGAGTACAGCGACGTAAGAATCCGTACTGGCGAGAGATGGAGGTGATACCTTCGCGTGCTCCTTCAGGGTATTCTGAAGAATGTTCACGATCACCGCTTCTGGCTTAGGCTTCCGCATTCTCGTAGCGTCAGCCTCGACGACTTCCGGAAGCTCGCCCACGAAACTGGGAAAAGGAACGATAGGATACTGCGGGTACAAAGCTATCGATCCCGGGTACCAACTCTGATAATCCGGGAAAGCCGGCAGCGTCGGATGATACTGCTGCACCATCGGCCAGGCGAAGTACTTGACGCAGCTGAAGTACTCGAACCTGCGCACGCACGAGAACATCCTGTCGGAATATTCGCGACGTATCTCACCGGGTAGAAGTTTCTCGGCCATCTGCAGGATCTGGAGTTGACCGACGGTGAGCAGTGCCCTCAGGGTTTCATTCGTCGGATCGATGTAGCTCGGCGCCAAATCGTAGGTGACTTTCGACTCCAGAGCGCCTTTTAGAATGTTGAAGACAATAAACTCGGGCGTCAGCAGCCGCGGACGATGTACGTTGCTCTCCGATCTTGCGGACTTGGCCCTGTTACCCTGAAACAGGTCAATCAAGTTTATCTCGATCGGAGATAAGTTGTTCAGAGACTGCCTGACTGGCTCCGGGAGATTGTCGAGCACGACGGGCCAGACGAAGATGCGTATGCAATTCAAGACACTGAGACCGCTAATGCATTCCCCCATGTTCTGCACAAACGACTGTCGCTGCTTCGTCTGCACCAGTTGCTCGGCGCACTTTATTATTTCCAATTGATTCTCGGTTAATTCAGTTGTGTTCAAGCTAGCCCAATACGTTTCATTCGCAGGTGATTCCCGCGTTAGCGCGATATTTTTCAAAGTATTCAGCAACTCAATTTCCGTGAATTTCGGAATGTCAGGGAGCACCTGGATTGCCTGTTCCCTCAAATACTGAAGAAACGTTCTGTTCTTGATTTGATCCTGAAGAAACGCGGCTTGACTCTTCCACTTCTGAAGACGGTTTAAAGTTTCCGTCGTTGGAGGTGATTGATCAAGATCCTCACTCTGAGTCGTCGCTACCACGTTCACGTCGCTATCACGTTGATTGCGAATCTCGTCCTTTTCAGCAGCGTCAACCTCAACCAATTTCTCTGAAAAAAGACTTTCTTTATCAAATTTTTCCGACTGTTTCGCATCATTGCCGATGGATTCAAGGGCGTCATTTCGTATAGATATCAATTTTTTTATTTGACCATCCACGATCGACTCTTGCTCTCGACCGGGCAAATTGCCCTGCTCAGCATTTAGGTAGACAGTCGAACTCTTGTACTTGGACTTACCTGGAACGCTGGCTCTATTCTCTCTGTTCAGATTCAGATCTTTGTCACCGATTTCTTCATCGTTCGAAACCTCATCAACGACGTGTTCTTCTTGATTCTTCTCAGTTTCTTCCGCTTGAGCATGATGTAAGCTACGAAGCTCATTGCGTACATCCTCACTCACTTCCTCGGTATTCTCTATTCGTGCCCCATCCAAATTATGTTCTGCCACATTCTCGATCTGCTCCGTTTCTTCCTTATTTAAATCTATATTTTCCGTCTGTTTCGAGCTGGCGTCCTCCAAATTCTCGTCAAGATTGGAAGAAGGGTCTGCGTGTTTTTCCTCTTCCGGCTGCGCCCTATCTTCGTCGCCGTTCACATCCACGTTTTTCACACCCTCGTGCAATTGTTCGACGTTGATCTCAATGGTATCTCCCTGCGAATCCGAGCTGTCTTCTATGATACTGTCCTGTATCTTTCGTTGGTCCAGTTCCACGGTATCGTCGGACTCGACCTGTGCGTCAAATCGTCGAATACCTTCGTCCTTCTGCGCATTCTCTTCGACAGGCTGTGCAATATTCTCGCCATCCTGCAACACGGGCTTACCGGAGAGGCTCACGTCGTTCCGTCGTCTTTTCTTCGCCACAAATAATAAGCTACCTTCATCACCTTCGGCAGCTTCGGTCTGGATCTTTTCAGGATCCTCGACGAGTATCTCTTCCGTTGGATCCTTTCTTTCTTCGCCACTAACATCTTCATCTGTATCATCTTCTGCTACCGTCAAGCTTTTTCGAGCTTGATCCACTTCCTCCTTGTCCACGCCATCAGGATTGAAATCGCTCACCGGTTCCGAAATTTTGCCGTGCACTTGATCCGCAATGACACCGCCGTCATCGTGAGGCACACTCCGCGCTCGTGCGTGAAGGACGCAAAGCAGAAGGATGAAACAGAGAGGGACGAGCCGGTGGATGCTCGTAGTTGACCGTGGGCGTCGAGAGTTGAGTGCTCTCATGGTCGCGGTCGAGAGGCGAATGTCTCGGCCACTTCTGAGCCGGTCTATGGTCAGCCACACACATGGTGATACACATACCATCGCCTAAAGCACGCCGACTGTAGCCAGTTCACGGACGAAGAAGCAAACCTGTAGATGAATAACAGTCTGGCATTTCCATTTTTGCGGTGCCCCTCTACGCGGCTACTTCGGGGTTGCGGGGTAACGAGCTTCGCAGCCAACGAGTTCGCCGTGGCCGACCGGTTGCGTTTCCTGCGCGGAAATGGCAATGGCATCAGGTGCATCGATCGCTCGATTTATCTCGACACGCGATTTCCTTAACGCAATTAATCGTGCAAATTAGTCGTACCGTTCGAGCGTTAGTTGTCTTGTTTGCGGCATGAGTTACTTGTCGCGAAGCTGAGGAAGTTCATTTACTTCAGATTGTTTGACAATTATGGTTTACGAGCGCTCTTAGCGCTTGGGGCAATACGTTAGAAGAAGAAAACGAGAAACGCCGTAAACATAGCTAAGTAAGTGCACGTACATTTTTGCGATCAACTCATATACTCAATATCGGGCATACCGAGAAACAGAGTTTAAAATAAAAATCTATATCATAATTAAATATATCGCTCTTTACTCGATTTCCGTTTTTAAATCTATATAATTAATCTATTTGATTGATGAAGACTCGGTGTAGTTAAAATGTTCCATTTCATTGTATTAAAGTTAATATATAAATTTAATTTTGTTCTTAACATCTATTTTTGCTTGTACATTGGCCCTTAATTACTTTACAGTCGTAAATATTTTTTAAATATTTTTTTTACCATTCTCATAAAAATCTCTTACTCTTCTTTTTTTAAAATGGAACGCTTTTACTTTTCTTTTATATAATAAAATGATATTGATTATATTATTTGTATTAATTAAAAAAACTATTATTAATTATAATAATATCCTATAATTAACTAGGAAAACATCTTGTTGTAAACATCTATATCGTCCAATTATATTTTAATTATATCAATGATAAGAAATCACAGATGTTTTTTAAAAAGATAAAAACTCATAATTAATTAGAATGCAAAGGCACATTAATTAGCGATGGATGAAAAGCGAATGCAGTTCTTAAGCGAAAATCGAAAGAAGCAAAGAAAATAATAATCCGTAGGTCTTTGAACGCGATGTTGCATAAATAAAGATCACAGATCGGGTTTCGCGTTCGTATTTAATACAGTCTTGCTCGCGCGGTCTCTGCTCGTGCTAGTGTAAAGGGTTGAATTTTTAGTCCTTGAAGGAATCGAGACTCGTAGGAATGGCCAGGAAGAAGGGGGCATCCTAGCGTGGGGAGTGGAGACTGGAGAGTAATGCATTTTTACAGCGAATTTTATTTTTCAAGATGGTCGGCGCGATGCTCCCTACTTCTTCCCTCTCTTTGCTCCTTCCGTACTGGATGCGCAAAGACGATGCAATAAACCTGTATTGCCTTCCTTTACCGTCTGCCTTGCTTACGGTGCGTTCACAACGTTTAATGCCGCTTTTACTGCTTCGGCATCGTTTCCTGCGGTTCCATTCTCGTTAACGATTATCGATATTTTCACATTGTCTCAATCAATTGACGTTAGTCCTCAAAATATTAACGCATTTTTTCTATGCTGCAAGAAAGGGTTATAGAAAACTGTAATTTTTTTATAACATAATTTCGGGCATCTTTTGCATTTTATACTTTTACCTTATTCAGGAATTATATTGAAATAACGTAACTAGCTGTACAGCAATCTCTTTCGGCTCTATAATAAGCGTAACGAGGTAAACCGCGTCGATCATCAACCATGACTTTTCTTTGAGCTACTTACTGACGCCAGACCGTTAATAAACTTTATGACGCATAATGTTCCTTGTAATGTCTCGTTACGAGGTCAGGCAGCAGTTGTTAAGTTAGTCGGAAGCGCTGCGTGCATCATTCGTTAAGGACCACTACTTGCAGCAACGTTGCACAAATAAGTGGCTGCTGCTGTCATGCGTTTGGAAGATTGACGCGGCGGTATTTAGGAGAATAAGCAGTACCAAGAAAACTAGTTTGAAAAAATGTGTTCACAATTGCATACTGTTCACAAACGGATATTCCAAACTCGTAAAATATTTCCCGAAGTGAAGATTGCACAAGTGTGCGCGCGTGTGTAATCGACGCGTTGCGGGGAATTTCATCAGAAAATTGTGAAGCAATGCGTTCCAACTACTCTTGGTTCAGCCACTCCTTTTCAAGGTGATGGCCACGCGTGAACGGTCGTTGCACGATGACCGTGACAGTGACGTGACGTAAAAAGTGAAAGACGGCAGGTACGTGTTATTCCTAAAACTTCTCCTCTTATCAAAATGTAACATCGTTTAAATAAAGGATCTGCTAAAAATGAAATCTAGTAAATTTTATATGTCAAAAAGAATTTCACATAAATTATTAATTATCAGTAAAACGTTTTCTCGAGCAACAGTTGTGGATTAGAGAATTTTATCGCCGTGTAATTTATTGTAAGACATGCGGTATGTTAAAAGAATGCTTTCTAACGTTAGAATTCGGGTCGTTCTCCGGATTCTCTGAGGTATTTGTAAAATATAGGTACCGAGAAGGAGTCCGAAAGAGGTGCGCAGAAAGTCGGCGCGCAGCGAGCGGGCAATTCTCTTTCGAGTTCGAACCGCTCGGTTAGTCGGAGGGAATCATACGGCTGCTCGTGCGGGTCCGAATAACACGTATTTCGTGTAGTCGCAGGAGGTTCAGGAGAAGGCAGAGGGAAAAAAGATCGGTCGAAAGAAAAGGATCGTAAGTGTCGATGAGTCCGGGTGGTGGTAAACCGGTCTGAGAATGCAGGCGATTGGCCGGATCTTGGCGTACATGCTATTGGCAACTGCATTTACGAAAAATGTGCTTGCAACGAGGGCCGCGAACGTCAAATTTTCGAGGGACAGCTATAAAATCGCACGATGCAACACCACGAAACTGGAGTTGGTCCCGGAACCAGCCTCGCTGATTTCTAACATCGAAAGTCTTCGGAGTATCCTGGTGAACGCATTCAAAAGGAAACCAGTTCAAGGTGAGGAACGTAACATTATTTCTACGTCTATTATAATAAAAAATAAGCATGAGAGAAGAA